ATAATTATGAGATGTTTAAGATGGAACCTGGTGAAGATATCACTAGTATGCTTGATAGGTTTACTAACATCACCAATAAACTCAATTAGCTAGACAAACCAATTCCTGAACATGAGATTGTCAAAAGACTTCTTAGAAACCTTCCTAAAAATTGAAAACCAAAAGTGATTGCTATTCGTGATGCCAAGGATTTAAATGTCATCACTCTTGATAAAATTTGTTGGTCTTTTTCACTCATGAGCTGGAGCTTAAAGAAGAGGAAGAAGAAGACAAGAGGCCAGCAAAAGAAAAGAAGAAAAGCATTGCTTTAAAAGCAAGCATTCTTGAAGAAAAATTATACAATTTATCCTGTGATGATGATGAAGAATTGGCTATGGTAGTAAAAAGATTTAGAAAACTTATGGGACAAAGAGATAGGAGATTGGCTAAGAAAGGGTACAGAAGAGATCAAGGTTTTTCATGGAGAACCAGAAAAAAAAATGAGTCCAACAAGAAAAAAGAGGTTATATGCTTTGAATGCAAAAAGCTTGGACACTTCAACTCAGAATGCCCCTTGTTGAAAGAAAAACTCCCAAGGAAAACAAAAAATCAAAGAAGGCAATGGTGGCTGCAACCTAGTCTGACAGTGATGTTTCAAGCTCAAATGTTGAAGAAGAGAAAATGGAAGAAAGAGCAAATTTATGTCTCATGGCAAGAGATGATGAATCTGAGGTATGTTATGCTCCTTGTGATATTTCTAATGATGAACTTCAAGAAGAATATGAATGTCTTTATGATAAGTTTGAAAAACTAGCATCAAAATATAAGACTTTGAAAAGAAAAACTTCATCTCTTGAGAATGATTTAGAAAAGATAAAACATTATTTCTGCTCTATTTTTGAACAAAAAAATTTTCTTCAAACTGAACTTGAACATTCAAAAATAGATTATGAAATTCTGAAATTAGAATTGGAAAATAAAACTAAAGCTTTGCAAAAAACTATTGATGAAAATATTGCTCTTAAGAGTATGAGGAAAAAAACACCAAGAAGACATACTTTAAGAAAAATTCTGATAATGTCTCTTCTAGATGTTATATTTGTGATAAACTTGGTCATCTATCTTATAATTGTTATAGAAAAAGAAACACATAGAAAACAAAAGGGATTTGGGTTCCAAAAGGATTTTATGTAGCAGCTAACCTTTAAGAATCCATCAAGGTATGGGTACCTATTAAGAAACACTAAAAATTTATCTTGCAAGTTGAGCCTAATTGAGAAGACATATGTATAAGAGCTCAACTGAAGGAGAAGCAACCATGGTACATAGACAGTGGCTGCTCAAGACACATTATTGGAAATGAAATGTTGTTTAGACAAGAAAAAGAGAGGTACTGTATCGTTTGGAGATGACTCAAAAGGTAGAATTCATGGTATATGAACAATGGGTAAGAATTCTCAAGCTCAAATTAGTCATGTGTTGCTTGTTAAAGGTTTAAAACACAATTTATTAAGTATCAGTCAATTATGTGATAAAGGCTTTAAGGTATGTTTTGATTCATACAAATGTGAAGTGAAAGACATTAGTACCGAAAAAATTTTATTCGTAGGAAAAAGAATCAAGAATATGTATGTTATATTTCTTGAAGATCTTGAGCTTAATTGTGAAATATGTCTCATGGTAAATGGTGGAAATGATAACTGGTTATGGCATAGGAGACTTGGATATGTGAGCACACATACCATCTTAAAATTGATGAGAAAAAATCTAGTTATTGGATTGCCTAAACTTAAATTTGAGAAAGATCAGATTTGTGATGCTTGCCAATTAGGTAAACAAGTTAAAACATCCTTCAAAACCAAGAATATTGTTTCAACCTCTAGACCTCTTGAACTATTACATATTGATCTATTTGGTCCAATTAACACAACCAGCTTAGGAGGCAAATCATATAGCTTTGTGGTAGTTGATGACTACTCTAGGTATTCTTGGGTCTAATTCCTTGCTCATAAAAATGACATTCTACCTACATTTGTAAATCATTGTAAGAGGGTTCAAAATGAAAAAGGACTTGTTATAGTTAACATTAGAAGTGATCATGGATGCGAGTTTGAAGGAGATGAGTTTGAAAACTTTTGTAATGAAAAATGGTTAGATCATAATTTCTCTGCACCTAGAACACCTTAACAAAAAGGGGTAGTAGAAAGGAAAATTTGAACCTTAAAAGAAATGGCTCAAACTATGCTTTATGAAAACAATCTACCAAAATACTTTTGGGCAGAAGCTGTCAACATAGCAGCTTACATTCTTAATAGAGTATCAATAAAGGCCATGATATCAAAAACTCCATATAAACTGTACAACGATATAAAACCAAATATTTCTCACTTGAGGAGTTTTGGCTGTAAATGCTTTGTATTGAACAATGGAAAACATTCTCTTGGAAAGTTTGATGCTAACAGTGATAAGGCAATATTTTTAGGATATGCATTGAAATTAAAAGCTTATAGAGTTTTCAACAAAAGAACTATAACAATTGAAGAGTCCATCCATGTAGTTTTTGATGAATCTAATGCCTTGCAAAAGAAAGTTCTTGTTGATGAAAATGATGCAGAGGACTTTGATAGACAAATGGAGGAAATGAGCCTAGAAAATAAGAAAACAATGAAAAAACTCCTTTGAAAAAAAAGCAGAACCTCCACTCTTAGAAACTCCGAAAAGAACTGAAAGTCAACACATTGATATTCCAAAAAGTTGAGAGAATATCAAAGATCATCCACAAGGGTAGATCATTGGTGATCTTTCACAAGGAGTCGAAACTAGAAAAGGAATTAGGGAAACATGTGAATTTTTAGCTTTTATCTCACAAATTGAGCCTAAAAGCTTTGAAGAGGTAAAAAAAGAAAAAACCTGAATATTGACCATGTAAGAAGAACTTGAACAATTTGAAAGAAACTAAGTATGGACATTGGTTTCTAGGGCATTAAATCACTTAATTGTTGGAACAAAATGGGTGTTCAAAAATAAGGTGGATGAGAAAGGTAATGTTATTAGAAACAAACCTAGGCTAGTGGCTCAAGGATATAACCAAGAAGAATGCATTGACTATGATGAAACATTTTCTCCTGTTGCTAGGATAGAGGCCAAAAGATTATTGCTTGCATTTGTATGTTTCATGAACTTCAAATTATTTTAAATGGATGTGAAAAGTGCATTTTTAAATGGACTTATTCAAAAAGAAGTCTATGTCAAATAACCCCTTGGATTTGATGACTTTGAAAAACCTGATTATATTTTCAAACTACATAAGGCTTTATATGGATTAAAACAAGCTCCAAGAGCTTGGTATGGAAGACTCTCAAAGTTTTTAGTTGAAAAAGGGTATATTAGAGGAAGTATTGATACAACATTATTTATTAAGAAATGCTTGAAGGATTTAATTATAGTTCAAATTTATGTGGATGATATTGTATTTGGTCCTACTAATGAGGCTTTATGTAAGAGCTTTGCTGAAGAAATGCAAGGTGAATTTGAGATAAGCATGATGGGTGCACTGAAATTCTTTCTTAGCCTTCAAATCAAACAATGCAAAGATGGCATCTTTATCAATCAAGAAAGATATATTCAAGACATGTTGAAAAGGTTTGATATGTTGAAGCTGAAATCAATCAACACACCAATGAGTCCCTCTATCAAGCTTGATAAAGATGAAAAAGGAAAAAGTATTGATCAAAAGCTTTATAGAGGTATGATTGGATCTTTACTTTATAGAAACTCCTAGCAAACCTGATATTCAATTTAGTGTATGCTTATGTGTACGGTTTCAATCTCAACCTAAAGAGTTACACTTAACTACAGTAAAAATAATCTTTAGGTACCTTTTTGACACATAAAATTTAGGATTATGGTATCCTAGAGGAACATCCTTCAATCTCATTGGATATTTAGATATAGATTTTGCCAGAAGCAAAATAGATAAAAAGAGTACTAGTCGTACATGTTAGTTTCTATGAGATATGCTTGTGTACTAATCAAGTAAGAAACAAAATTCTGTTGCACTCTCCATAGCTGAAGCTAAATATATTTCCTTAGGTAATTGATGTGCTCAGATTCTATGGATTAAACAACAATTAAAAGATTTTGAAGTGACCATGTATAATGTACCAATATTTTGTGATAACACAAGTGCAATCAATATCTCAAAAAATCTAGTTTAGCACTCAAGAACAAAGCACATTAAGATTAGACATCATTTTGTTAGGGATCATGTGCTTAAAGGAGACATTAAGATTGTGTTGGTCAACACCTTGCATCAATTGGCTGAAATATTTACCAAACCCTTAACTGAGAAAAGATTTTGGAAAATTATGAGAAATCTAGGAATGGCTAGTATTTAAGAGCTTCAAGTAAATTTCTAAGCATTTCTCTTATAAGATAGTGTACGCTTAGTTGATTAAGAGCATCACTTCACCAACCAAAAGAATTTTGTCCCTTTTAGTGAAAGACCTAGTTAGACTAAGGTAAAACTTGGTCAATTAAGAAGCTAAAATAAAAATAATAAAATTTACAGAAAATAGAAGTAGTTTATCGAGTGAAGAAAAAAAAAAGAAAAAACCCCTTAACTAGAAAATGAAACGAGAAGTAAACCTTTGAATTTTGAAAAAAAAGGTAACTGATCACATTTAAAAAGGGGAAGTTTGATGGTTGTAAAGAAGAATAACTGTAACACCCCGTAACCTCATTTAATGATTGATGAGACTCTATTAAGGATAATAAAGGGTATTTGAGGTAAGTCTGAGTGTTAGAAAACGATGAGAGGCAGAAAGAATATTTTTAAATAAAATAATATTAAAATATTAATATTTTATTTATCGGTGAGATTAGTTAAAAATAGTAGGTTATATGCTTAATCTAAG